CCATTTTGGAGACCTCATCTAGTTCTGGAAATGTTGAAAACAAGACTGGCGAGAACGACCCTCAACCTGACAAAGTTCAAAATTTGCCCCCTCCTGACACAGTAGAATTTGAATTTATGTCTTCCACGGTAAGTCTTCAAAATTGATCTTTTTTCAAATTTGTTATGAATGATTTTTAGAATGTTTTGAATTTTCAATCATTATATTTATAAATAGACACCAGGAAGCGAAAGCAATGAATCACACGAGGCCCAAGAAGTCGAAAGCGACACCCTTGAAAATGAGACTGAAGAAACTGAAGAAAACCAGGACGATAAAAACATGACTTGGCTTCAATGCGCAGGGCTGTTGCAATATCTAAAGTCCCAGCTTCGTAATGTTGAAGGAATTATAGATGAAGTTGAGACGGCAGATAATGCTAATCAAGAATATTTTCTAAATAAGGTAATCGAAACAGTTGGTCAGGTTGAAGAAACTGCAAGCGAGCTTCTCAGAATATCATCTCAAGTTCTTGAAAAGGTTGAAAAAGAGAAGATGACACTGGACGATAGCAATCAGAAAGCATTCCCTACCATGCCATCTTTGGATCCTGGATTGCGATCAAAACATCTGACGGACAGTCAAAAAACATACCTGATACAAATGGGACCGAATCAACCAAATTTACAGGTATACCCAGGGCGTAGTAAAACACGGGCGAGGAAACGCGCGGTAATCGCGCTGATCTATGTGTGATGCGGCTGGAGACTGGCGAAAGCGCGCGTTTTGCGAGAAATACAAAAAGAACGGCACAAAAATGGCAACAAAAAGATTTGCCGAAGACTACGAAATAACAAACGAAAATATAGGTAAGTTTTAAATTGTTACATAATTATTTAACGTAATTTGAAAGAAACACTATTATACTTCAGCTTTACTTAATTAAAATAAACAAAAAGCGCATTGCGTTGTAAAATGTCAATGTTTTAAGAAATGTTTTGATTTTTGTTCCCTTCAAAATTTGTTATTTTTGCGCACAAAGTCAGGTTTTAATACGAGTTTTTTAACGCTCTAGGTAGTCCTAGGTGAATTTGATAGCACAAAAAGTTTCCCAAATTAACATACGTGAGAATAATTAAAATTAAGAGTCGGACTTTTTTGGACTTTTTTTGCTATAACTTTTTTCCCTGAACATAGTGCTGTTCATCATTTGTATCGCAAGGAGAAGCAACGCAAGTTAACACGAAAGTTTTTAAAATATCAAGCGGAACATTTTAAATATTGTTCAATCTAATTATATTGCTACAATATTTGATTTTAGATACAAATAACATTCCCCAAGCCGTCAAAGACATAATTAGTTCAAAAACAATTAGTTTCAAAAACAATATATAGATCATGTCAGCTCGATAAAGTACAACGTATACGGCCATTTTAGAGGCCATGTTTACGTTTTGAAAAAGAACCGCGGAAAAATTGTATTTTTGCATGTAGTTTTTTTCCTAGGTGTGAAACATCCCCTAAAAAATCGTAGAAACTGAAATCAAGTCATAATATATCAGAAATTTTTTAAAAGAAGACAGACTGTTTCATCAAAACATATTTTTTTGCCTTGAATTTCAGCATGTCAGCTCGACAAACTGCCGAGGATGCGGCCATGTTTACGTTTTGAAAAAGGACCGCGGAAAAATTGTATTTTTGCGTGTAGTTTTTTTCCTAGGTGTGAAACATCCCCTAAAAAATTGTACAAACTGAAATCGAGTCATAATATATCAGAAATTTATCAAAAGAAGACAGACTTTTTCGTCGAAACATATTTTTTTAGCCTTGAATTCCAACATGTCAGCTCGACAAACTGCCGAGAGAATACGGCCATATTTACGTTTTGAAAAAGAACCGCGGAAAAATTGTATTTTTGCATGTAGTTTTTTTCCTAGGTGTGAAACATCCCCTAAAAAATTGTAAAAACTGAAATCAAGTCATAATATATCAGAAATTTTTTAAAAGAAGACAGACTTTTTCGTCAAAACATATTTTTTTAGCCTTGAATTTCAGCATGTCAGCTCGACAAACTGCCGAGAGAATGCGGCCATGTTTACGTTTTGAGAAAGGACCGCAGAAAAATTGTATTTTTGCATGTAGTTTTTTTCCTAGGGGTTAAAAATTCCCCCCAAAATTGTACAAACTGAAATCGAGTCATAATATATCAGAAATTTATCAAAAGAAGACAGACTTTTTCGTCGAAACATATTTTTTTAGCCTTGAATTCCAACATGTCAGCTCGACAAACTGCCGAGAATGCGGCCATGTTTACGTTTTGAGAAAGGACCGCGGAAAAATTGTATTTTTTGCATGTAGTTTTTTTCCTAGGTGTGAAACATCCCCTAAAAAATTGTACAAACTGAAATCGAGTCATAATATATCAGAAATTTATCAAAAGAAGACAGACTTTTTCGTCGAAACATATTTTTTTAGCCTTGAATTTCAGCATGTCAGCTCGACAAACTGCCGAGAGAATGCGGCCATTGTACAGAATGTGCACTAACCTTTTTTTCACAACATTTGGTGCTCATCACGTTTGCTTGCTGAATACACACGTTCTTTCTCGGAAATAGTATATTACTTTCTCTTGTCATTTTAGCTTTTAAAAGATTTTCGGGCTTTAACGTTGTATCCTGAACTACAGAGATCCAATGGAATGTACATGCATGTCACGTCTTCGATTCGATTCGAACAAAACCAGGAAAAATCCATTAAAAATCCACAACACACCTCGTTTTATGTAATGTTTCAAACTGTTCATAGCGTGATTGACATGTCACATGATCACGGAACAGATCTTTACATCATAAACTGGAGCGTTGTAATAAGCGGTTAAAATGCTAATTTTTCAATAAGAGACACCGATTCCTAGCTATGACAGGGAACTTTTTCGTTTAGAGTATGTAAAATAAACATGAAAAGTTGTATATATGCGTGGTTTGTTCCATTTAGATAATGATCTTGGTCAAATACTGACTACGTCTCCTCCTAAGCGGATATGTTTAGGGTCAATGGATTTAAATACATCTACCGGCAGTGCCGTAAGAATGCATTGCCCCAAGTCTGTAGCTGAGCAGTCAAGCGAAGTACGAGTTGGTGGAATAATGTCTACTCGACGAGAAAATAAACGCGCAGCGGAGAAACTAACATCGTCGGAACGTCTTGAAGATTATTTTATGTCCGGCTCACCATTAAGCCCTGTGGAGTTACTCATGTACTCTTTAATGAAAATCCAATTCAAGACATCCACGTTCACCAAACATCACTCGATAGTACAATACGACAAAATCGCTGAAGCTGTATCCAAAATTTGTGGTGTTCAGTTCGAAGCAATGTCAATTCGAAAGTTTTTCCCAAGAATTTCCAACAACCGCTCAAAACCAACTGTTGGAAAAGAAAAGGAAGAGTAAGATGGAACGTCTTTCATTCGAATGTGGAAGAATTTATTCATGCTTCTGGGAAAGACCTCGAAACGATCCTCGATAATAGCTCCGATACATGGTTATCTGAAGATATGATCGTAGCAACGAGTCAACGTTTAAATAATGTATGTTCCAATACAGATTCCGAGAATTTATCGGTAGAGCATTTTGTAGAACAATTCAACAACGTCGTCGGGAATTCGAATTGGATGCCATGGGTTGATAAAGGAAAAGGTGAAATTTGTCTATTTCAATTCGGTAGTTCGCCTGGGTATGCAGAGAAGGAAATACGATTATCCAGAACGTTTGAATGGAAACTCTTCATGAATAAAATAGAACGAGACACATCAAACTGCGTATTGTTTGACGTTGTTCCAAGAACTGTCGGAAAAGTAAAGCATTTGGTGCAGCTGCTCAATATAATCGACAACAACATAGTGTGTGACGGGTGTGGAAAACTTTCGTTTGCTTCAAAATGAGAGTGGAGAAAGCATTTACAAGAGGAAGGATGGAAAAAATGCCGTGTTTATCGAAGACGAAAAGATTAGATCGACAACTTGCCATCTCTTTATACCAAATGAAACTACTGCATGCAACGCCTGCCAGAAGAGTCGTCATTACTTACGAACTTTAATATCAAGAAAAAAATCGGAAAACACCTCTGAGAATCCTGAAAAAGCACGACTTGATTATAAATCGAAGCCTGAACTACTTAACATCGCAAGGCAGTCGGCAAAGAAATTAAAGGTTGAAAAAACTAAAAGCAAGAGATTGGAACTGTCTGTTCAAAACATGGTTCAAGTGGGACCAAATTCTAATGATGATCTAAGTAAAATGTTCAACGACCTATATAATGGATTGCAGGAGAATAAAGCCAAACAAAAAAGTCCGGTTTGTCTATGGGAGAATTGTATGGAAACAAATATTTTTGAAGATGTTGAAGAATTATATC